TTGATTGATTGGTTCGTTGCTTGATTGATTGATTGGTTCGTTGCTTGATTGATTGATTGGTACATTGATTAATTGAATATTAATCTTATTGTACACAGCTCGGCAGTTTCTAGCAGGTTCTGGGATGCTGCGTCAATTATATTTTGCTGCGCTTGACCTTGAACTTCACACCAGGTAAAGCGATAATGTCCACTCCACCTTCATCCCCATTAACACCACGGCCACATTTACCATCAAACTACATTGCGAATACCCTATATTAAACCCATCAAACAAGTCTTGCCATGAGATATTTTCCTTGAAAAATGTTCCACGTTTCCAGACATTCAAAGTCTCTATATTCGCTAAAAGACTGAGAATTTTTAATAACTGTAAGTGAAATTATAATTATGTATGGCAATCCCGAGATTCTTTGCAGGCTCAAGACTGTGAACTACTGTGTCCTGGCGAGGACAACGTTTTTTGAAATAGGTGTGTAACACCAATTCATCACAGCATATATGCAAAGCAAAATAAGTCAGTTGCGAGGGGAAATAGACAATTCAAAGTCAGCGGGTTGTAATGTAATACGAAATATGCCATCATTAACACTTGGTAGACCAGCATGCTTATCGGCCTCTATGTTGAACTTTTGTAATAAGTAAGAAGTGAGGAGAAATGTCTCCATTTTCGCCAAGGCTTCTCCAGGGCACGAACGGTGACCAATTCCAAACGCAACTATATTAGATGTGCGCTCAACACTTAAGGAACCACTTTCGTCAAGGAACCGTTCAGGGGCAAAATCCTCAGGGTTCTCCCAGACATTAGGGTCATGATGGATGGCGTACACATTCATTATCACCGTAGTGCCTTTAGGCACCTTGTAAGGACCGAGTGCAGTGTCAACGATTGCCTTATGGGGAATCGCTAAGGCATTAAAACTTGTATAACGAAAAACCTCCATGATGAATGCTTCAAGATAGGGGAGTTTCCGGTGATCCTCCCATTTTGGCGGAACATTCGGACCTATGACGTCATCGATCTTGCGCTGAAGACGCTGCTGGACTAAAGGGTACTTGGCCAGGAAATACAAAATCCAGAGAAAATGATTGATGGGGGTATCACTTCCTGCTGCAATGGCATCATTAATTGTCATCGTAATGTGGTCTTCGGTTAGTTGATATTCGGGTTGTCCCTCGGGATTCTCGCGTGATTTCTTCTTGTATGTCACATCAATCAATAGGTCAGTCAGATCACCATTTCCAGGTGATCGTTTTTCGAAGTCAAGTTTGTGCTCGTTTAATTTCTTATTTAGGATTTGATCGCGTACAACAGAAGCATATTTGATTCTCTTGATAGTGGTGAAGGGAAAATATTTCAAAAATGGAAATATGTCGACAAGAAAACACACAAAATTTGCAGCTCCCAGATTTGCATTGAACGTATCCATTGCGTTTATCAGTTGCCAGAACTCGGAGTCCATTGGGTCCTCATACCGTTTTCCAAATGATAACGCTGATACGATGTTCCCAAAGGCAAAAGTGACGTCTTTATGAGGATTGATTAATGCGCCACGCGTTTTTGTGATGCGAGAAACCAGTTCGTTGGCCTCCACGGTAATCAGATCTTGCATTTTGTTTTGCCGAATGTATTCTCTAATTTTCGACGCGATTGATTTGGATTGAGCCTTCCAATTTGCTGTGTAAGTCTGAAAGCCTACATCTTTACCATTTCTTGAGAATATGCCACCAACAAAGTTCTCTGGCGGTCTTCCAGCAAAATCGGACCCTCGTTTGAGCATGGCTTCTTTGGCAAATGCACAGTTATTGATTACAACAACGCGGTTCCATCCCATCCAAAGACGATAAACGGGACCATACTTGCGTGCTAACCTTGACATATCCAGGTATGGCTTGCTGGAGAGAAGGTGGAGGTTTCCGATGAATGGGAGTGGATATGGACCTGGTGGAAGCCGTGACGATGCTTCGCGGTAGACATTGACGAGATAATAGGCAGCGTAGCAACCGATAGCAAAAACTATCAAAATGTACATATTAAATGATTTTTCTTATAAGAAAAAAGTGATATTTTCGTTGATGGATTACGTATGAGGTTGTAACAGATGTTTCACTCAAAGCATAACATATGAACGCAGGCGAGAGGGAGTCGAAATTGCAGGAGCCAGTTTCACGCTTCAATGTTCGTTTCGCTTTGTGCAACTTAGATTTATGCAAATTCCTGATATAGATGAACGACTATTGCGTGTGTTTATGAAATAATAGGGCTAAGCTCTAGTATTTCTTGCGTGACGACACCCTGATATCAACTCGTACTGAAAGAATACACCTGACAGATTTAACCAATGAAAGTACATTGCTTTCTAAATCAACAATATCGCAACACTATCGAGACGTAAACTCTCAATATAAACAACAACTGACACAATCAACATCACCATCAACACCAACAGCAACAACCAACAAAAACCAGCATTAACAACAACACGCCAACAGCAACAACTACACCAGCAGCAACGCTAGCAACACCAACAACAATACCACAACCAACAACGACAACACCAGCAACGCCAACTACAAGACCACAAATGCGCAAACAACAACACCAGCAGCAACACCAACAACTGCACCACAACGACAACACCAGCAACGCCAACTACAACAAGACCACAAATGCGCAAACAACACCAGCAGCAACACCAACAACTACACCACAACTAACAACAACGACAACACCAGCAACGTTAACTACAACAAGACCACAAATGCGCAAACAGCAACACCAGCAGCAACACCAACAACTACACCACAACTAACAACAACGACAAAAACCAGCAACGCCAACTACAAGACCACAAATGCGCAAACAACAACACCAGCAGCAACACCAACAACAATACCACCAACAAAAAATACCATTAGCAACGACAACAGCAATGCCAACAACAACAACAACAACTGCACCAGCAGGAACGGCAACACCTCCACTAACAACAACAACAGAAATACACGTGTATTGTAGACGACAACGTCGAATCCAATGAACAACATTTTATTTTTATTCAAATAAATAAAGTTGCCTTTTAGAACGATCAAACTAACCTAATCTTATTTCAGTGTCATTATTTCTAAATCCCATTTTGTTTTTTTTATATTTTAAAGTTATATTTTAAAATACAGAATCTAATTGTAGTAATCAACGGTTCGTTGTCAACCCAACAACACCTACATAAACTCTATTTGTACATTATATTAGTAAGATGATTGAACAGGAATGATGACTGAATGTACTTAAACAAAGAAAGCTAACAATGCAAAAGTGGCCCAAACAATCTAATACAAGAAAAACGTGTTTCCTAAGAAAAAAAAACATTGCTCTTATAGCGTCAGATAGTTTGTTTGATGTGCATCTCTTGCATTCCAAACTATTCGAGTTCACTTCGTTTGTCACTTATCGTTCATACAAATTTGGGAAGTAAACGTGGCTTCTTTCGCTTACAAAACTTAGCAATAAAAATGAACAGAGAAAGGATGAGTATGGGAATGCCAACCCCAAGTAATATTTGCCAGCCGGCCAGCGATAAGCCGAATACAGACGCCGGGACAAGGAAGAAACCGAAGACGATGTACGCGACGGAGAACCATCTATACTTTGCTGTAGTGTTGCCGAGAAACTTTGCAAACTTAATGGGAACACGCCTCATTGCTGGAATAGGATACCATAAGATTATCCCGGATACATTGAACAGTAAATGACAAAGAGCTATCTGTAGTGCGTTGTTGAACGAGTCGCCATGACTCGCTATCGCAGCGAGGATGCCAGTAGTTGTTGTTCCAATATTGGCGCCAAGGGTCAGAGGGAAGACGCGCTCAATTGACACGACACCGAGACCAGTAAGTGGAGTTAGAACAGACGTAAAAATAGAACTGGATTGCATCAGAACTGTCATGGCCATTCCTACGATCATGGCTAAGTATCCAGTTAAGTGATGGAAAGGCTTCGGGAAGTCTGCATTGACTGTATGCTGTATCGCTTTTCTTACGTGCCCGTGCATTAAAGATTCTAATAGTTTAACAAGACATACGAGGCAAGTGCAAAGCAAGATCAAAGCGAACGCTAAAAGGATCACACCGATTGTGGAGTCCGACATACCAGTTTCAGAGAAGAGAAAGTTACAATGTCGTATCTGTTCAACTGGTACATTTACACTCCCCGTGTAATTTGCAAGGCCGTTAGTAGTATTAAACTCCTGAGTTACGTTCATTGTCACGGTTCTGTTCTCACGACATAGTTTTAAAAGAGTCTTCGCTTTTGTAGGTGTTTCTTTTAATATAACACTTCTGAGGACGTGCTCTGTGTCAAGCTGGACTACAAGGTTGGTCAGCGGTGTTGTGATTTTGGAGAGGAATTCTCTGTGCGCGTTAGTATCTGCCTTGATGTCCATAACTTTAATAATCTGATTTGTCACGTGGTATAAGTAATGAAATACCACCTCTACAGGAAGGAATACCAGGACGGATAGACAGTTGAAAACGTCATGGACAACAGCCCCCGCAAAGGCTCGTCTAAACTCATTCCTGTCGCCGACCTGAGCCAATGAGACCATTGTACTTGTCACAGATGTACCAATGTTAGCACCCATCACTATTGGGATGGCTTGCTTTACTTCGATAACTAAAAATTAAAGAAGGTTTAGTTTAATCATCAGTTAACATTTGTTGCTGACTTCTTCGGCTAACGACAAGAGATATATATATCTTACGTAGCCTCAACCAATAACTCTTCATATCATACTCAGCCTCAACCAATAATTCTTCATATCATTCTCAACCTCAACCAATAATATCTTATATCGTACTAAGCCTCAATCTATAATTCTTCATATCATACGTAGCCTCGACAAATAATTCTTCATATCGTTCCAAGCCTAATTTAAGTAACAATTTTTGTGAAATGAATGCCTATTTCCATTTCATCCATGACGAAGGCATTTTTTTAGATGCATGAGCATAGGCTACCCAACTATTGCTTGAGAGAAAGAAAAGAATGAATGCGTACGCTTTTTACGCTAGCTATCGCTAGTACTCGCTAGTACTCGCTAGTACTAGTATCGGCGCGCGCTCTTAGTGAAATGCGGATTACCTGTGGTATTACGTCACGTCCCGTGCCTCGCGGGATACAAACAAGTCTGTGACAAGGTATGAAACACTGGTCACGTGACAAATATAATTTCGCTMYTRTTTCACCGAAAATCARMAGAAAACGACGATTTTCTTTCAAATAACTACACATCGCCAGATTCCCTAACTGTCTCACGATTTTCAGCGTGAAATGTTTATTACATGACGAGAAAATGAAAATTAAGCATTTTACTCGCCGTGGACCGATGTGTGCACCAGCATGCCTGTCTATCCCTCCCTATCGTTTTTTTCCGTAAAGACTTCGATACCTTTCGGAAAACAGTCGTGTGTTTATCGAGGCGTAAATAAAAGTTAAGAATAAATTAACTTTCTTTAAAAA